AAATATACCAGAGCTGCAATTGCTCTGCTTCTAATTTTGTTTCTAGACAACAGCACAAAAGAGGACTGCAGAGAGCAGAGAAGAAGCAAAATGGAGAAAACGAGGTACAAGAGGCTATCTGGAAGTCAAAACCTAAGACAACAGCTGGTATTGTCTACATTCACCTTCACGCCCATTCAAATTCACGACATACGAACCAACGAGACATGGCCTGGTCTCCGCAAGTACGAGGTCTCCCTCCTCAAGTTGCTCGCTTTGGTCTGCCATGGCTGTTCTTTCGAAATCAACGACACTGGTACCCAGCAGCCCTCCCCAAACACTAATTTTTTTCATGCATTATATTATATAGATATATATGTATGTATAGTTCTGAGTGCTACTTTTGTTCTGTGTGTTTGGGTAGGCACTGGATTTAAGTTCAAGCCAGGGATAGTGATGGGTGGGTCGAAACTGGAACACGACTGTGGTTTTGAGCGGTCTATTGGGTATTTCTTGGAGCCCTTGATTTTGATTGGCCTCTTTGCCAAGAAACCCATTACCATTACGCTTAAAGGTAGCCACTTTTTTCACTGCTAATTCTGAACCTTGTTGCTTCATCATTGCTATGACTTTGAAAACTGCATATTTGTAACTAGTTCTAAACTTTGGCATTTGGTAATGACATAGTTTTGGTAATATTAAGAATTCAGTTTGTTTGTTTTTTTAGCAATCAGTTTGTTTGAACAATTACAATTTTACAATGTAGATGGGATTTTAACAATCGGTTCTAGCCAACTAATTTATTGAACGCTTACAATTTTACAAACCCAACTATCTAGTTCTAGCATAGATGTAATCTAACTATCAAAGTACCAATTATAAATAAAGTAGAATAAAAAGGCCTAACCCTATTGATTTTGGGACCAGACCATATTGCATTTGTGCATGTCGATTTGAGCTTTACAAAGATGCTGCCACTGTAAGTCACTTGAATTTTGTTCTTTCAGGACTTACAAATGATTCCAAGGACCCATCTATTGATACCTTCCGGTCTACTACCTTTCCCATTTTAAAACGCTTTGGAGTTCCCTCAGAAGGATTGGAGCTGGAAATAAAGAGTC